GGATGACATGATTACGATGACATCACACTCCCCCCAAAGGAAGCCATGTGACTTCTGCACCACACGGTATTCCCAAACAGTCTCCTCTTCTGAGCAGGTGCTTTCCTGGTATTTGGATCGCAGCAGACTGGACCTACTTAGGATGCAAGATGCCGACAAGCCCTTGACTGCAGAGCTCAGCCCTGTCAGCTAGTTTGCTAGAACTCCAGCACCTATCCAGGGATCCCGCATCCCCCTGATGATCTTCAAGTCTTACAAACCACCCTTTCTCCACATGTATCTGGGGGAATCTTACTCTCCCCAACCTCTGAAGTGGTTCTGAGCCACTCCTAGGAGCATCTGGGACCAGGACTGAGTGCTGTGTGCGCACGCTCTGCAAAACCACTTCTTGGCAATCCTTGGGCAAACAGCCTGGGGTCAGTCCGGGGGTCACACTGCCCAGCACTGGCTCCTCTCTCTGCAGGTGGTCCTGTCTATGGCTAACCCTATCCATGGCTTCTGCCTCCCAGCCCTGTGACATCAAACAGTGGGGTTCTGTCTGTTCTTTCTAGGATGCCCGGCAGTCAGCCCCCTCTGTCTACCCCTTTCCTGAAAATACTTTCCTCCTATTCCTTAGTGATCTCTTAGTGATTCAAAACAGGGCTTGCGTTCCACTCTATGGTGTTTGCTGCAAATGTATATTTGAATTCTTGGTGTGACCTTGCAGCTTGATTTTGGGTGGAGAATTACCTGGATCAGAGGGTTCCCTCCAGGTGAATTAAAGTGGGTCCAAACTAAAGATCCCTTTTTATTTATCTTATTTTTTTAATGCTTATTTTTGAGAGAGAGAGAGAGAGAGAAAGAGAGAGAAGGACAGTGGAAGTGGGGCAGTAGCAGAGAGAAGGAGACACAGAATCCAAAGCATGCTGCAGGCTCTGAGCTGTCAGCACAGAGCCCAACATGGGGCATGAACCTGCAAATTACGAGACCATGACTTGAGCTGAAGTCAGATGCTCAACAGACTGAGCCACCCTTCCTCAACTGTAAGGTGGGCATAAGAGCAGTAATTTCTCATGATTGTTCTGAGGATTAAATAAAAGTATGTGTGTGGAGTGCCGAGTTCACTTTAGGTGCTCGGTCCACACATTTCTTTTCCTTGCTGGCATCAGAGAAGGCAAAGGTGCCTTGGTTTCAAACATGGCGGAGGGTTCTCCAGCAGTGACCAGGGCAGGGAAAGAGGATTCCCACAACAGTTTAATTAGCTGGGGACGAGTCAGGGGACTGTCACAGGACTGTGACAGGGGCCAGCCAGAGATGGCACATCAGGTCACAGGCGCCGGGCAAGCAGCCAGGTGTGTTTGGGCCATGGTTCTCACCCGGCTGCACAGCAGAAACAACAGGAGGTAACTTTCAAGAGCACTGATGCAGGGCCCTTGCCCCAAACCAGTTATGTGGGAGCTGTGAGAGGGAAGCCTGGGCACTGGTGTTTCTATAATGGCCTCATGTGATTCTTACCTGCATCCAGAGGGAAGAATCTCTCCTAAGGAGGAAGAGCAAGGACAGAAACTTAAATAAATTCACCTCTGGGGCACCTGGGTGGCTCACTCGGTTAAGCGTCCAACTCCTGATTCAGGCTCAGGTCATGATCCCGGGGCCATGGGATCCAGGGCCCTGTCAGCTCTGTGCTGAGTATGGAGCCTGCTTGGGATTCTCTCTCTTCCTCTGCCCCTCTTCTGCTTGTACATGCTCACTCTCTTTCTCAAGAAATAAATAAACTTAAAAAAAGTAAATTTGCCTCTTAATAGCATGTAGGAAAGGAGGACGCAAGCAGAGAGCAGAGGGTCGTTGGTGCTGGTGCTTCGGGTGAGCATCCTACTGAATGTGGAAAGAACCCTGGACCCAGACACTGCCCTGAATGGAGGGGGGGGGCAGCCTTTCCCCTGGAGGGCTCTAGTGACACCCTGGCAGGAAGAAGGGTCCCTCCTTGGCGACTGCCCAGACAGCCTGAGGTCGTTTAGCACCCGGACTAACACAGAAAACGAACGGAGGTGGTGAGGCCCTGCAGAGCTTGAGCCTTCTGGGCCCGACGGAGCTCTCAGTGGGAATTAACCTTGACCCCCAACAAGCTCTGGCTGGAAGAATGCCAGCACCAGCCCAGAGAGAGGCCAGCGATCCTGATCCCTCCGAACAAAACTTTCTTCCTCCCTGGGTCTGCCCTGTAGGCTACAATTGCCATATTAGTCGTGCACTGGGGGCTGTTAGAATAAAATGGCATCTTCTCTGAGACCCCCCCATCATTAGCCTTTGTTGAAATATCTTGATGGGATCAGCTGGCAGCAGGGTCACTGACAGGGGGGACACAGGGCGAAGGCGCAGGGAGCCTTGAGGCTGGTGCGTCGGTTGGGAGGCCGGAGCAGGTGGAGTTTGGCAGTGAGCCCCGAGCACCCAGGAGGAGGGTGAGCACTCCGAGGATGAGCGCCCACGATTCCCAGGTCCTGATAATGGCAGGAAGGGGAGCCCTGAAAGCGCAGCTCCCCTGCTCTGACTGGCAGTTAACCCGAAAGCTTGTCCTCTGGCATGTCTGCCTCCTTGCTTGGTCTAACGAATGTTGGAGTAACGTCCTCCTCTCACGTTTCTTTTCTTCCTTATCTTCTTTTTCATCTTCCCCCTTCCTTTCTGCGTTAGTGCGTTTGGGCTGCTCTAACAAAATGCCACTGGCTGCGTGGTTTAGCCAACAAACATTTATGTCTCATAGTTCTGGGAGATGGGTAGTTCAAGATCAAGGTATTAGGAGATTGGGTGCCTGGTGAGGCACCTCTTCCTGGTTTGTAGATGGTCAAGGGCACTAACCCCAGCGTGGAAGCCCTACCCTCGTCCTTCAGCTAAACCTAATTGCCTTCCAAAAGCCCCACCCCCCAAATATCATCACACTGGGGATCGGGGCTCCAAGATACCAGATGGGGGTGGGGGGTGGGGAATGATTTCAGTCCCCAGCAGGGTCTGTGTGGTTACTGGGTGAGTCAGCTGCTGATCAGGACCACTCGTTTTGAACTTTCTGTGACAAAAGGTAAACTACTGGGGTACGCCACTGAGACTTCGGGGCTTATCTGTTTCAGCAATTGGTCCTAACTCACTAATAGTCCCTGAGACTCAAATCCCTTTACATAGCACATAGGTACTTAAAGATCTGGCCATTGCTGGTTTTCTGTCTCTTCACGTCCCCTTAGTCAATCAGTTGCAGCCTCGTTTCGCTCTGCAGGTTTGCAAAGACCACACGCCCTTGCTTGCTTTGATCTTTGAACCACAGCCCGGATCCTTTCCTCTGCCTTGAATGCTCCTAGAGATCGGGCCTAGTGATCACCCGGTACCCTGTGTCTATTATAATCACAACATCCCTGGTGTGCGGCAACTGCCGACTTCTTGTCTGCCTCCCAACCCGAGGATTGTACCAACTCTAAAATGGCATTCGAAGCAGTCACTAACCAGAAAAAGAGTGCTGGATATTTTTTTTTCCATCACTTTTTTCCTGTCTGACTGAAAATTGTCTTTGTGGGAAAACTCATCACAAATTTTATTATTTGTATATTTTCTTTTTTTCAAAACCAATTCCAGTTGAAGTATCATAATCAGAATCATTGTCACTATTAAAGCCATGACTCTCTTGCAGTAGGTGGAAATTAAAGAATACCCTGCATTATTAATAATAATTATTAGTCTAAATTAGAAAATGTTAAAGGAGGTTAAACTCCTCAGAGTTCAGAGCTTGCCAGTGGCATCCCCGATAATATACCCAGATGCTCTTTGCAGGCCACTCAACGTCCCTCAAAAGTGAGCACTGACGACCACCATCCCCATCTTGAAACCACTGTATTCCTTCAGTTTCTCTGACAAACATGTGCCAACAGATTTCGGCTGGAGTCATTCTCTCAGTGACATCTTTCCCTGGCTTCTCAGATGAGCCCAAGTCCCTTATTAGGCTCCTTTTTAAAGGGATATCACTGTTCTTTTAATTTTTTTTTTTTTAAGATTTATTTATTTTTGAGAGAGAGTGCACACGGGGGAAGGGGCAAAGAGGGCGAGGGGGGCAGAGGATCCAAAAGTGGGTCCTGTGCTGACAGCCGTGAGCCCAATGAGGGGCTTGAACTCACGAACCACGAGATCATGACCTGAGTCGAAGTCTGACACTTAACCAAATGAGCCACCCAGGTGCCCCTCGCTGTTCATTAGACAGTTCACAACTCCTGTTTTTTCTCTTGCTTCTCAAGCTACTCCTTTGTTTCCTTTGCAGGCTCACCTCCATCTTAGCATTAACTTCCTCAAGGCTGTGTGTCTGGGACCCTCTCCTCTCCTCAGCCCTGCTCTCTCCCTGGGTAAGCTTCCAGAAGGCCCACATTGTCAATGACCCCTGGCACCTCCGCCCCAAACCACACCTCTGTGCCTCCAGCTTCTCTTCCCTGAGCTCAGCCAGTTTGCTCAGCCAGAAGCCAGGTGTCATGCCTGTCACTGCTCAATCCCAAGTCCAATTCATCACTGGGTCCTGGCGACTTTAATTCCTAAATGTGCCCCCAGGGATTCCATTTCTCACCACTTCTGTAATGCAGGTCCAAGCTATTCCCACCTCCTGCCGAGGTCCACACAAGAGCTTCCAGACTATTCTACCCACTTTGGGTGCCACATTCCACTTTCCATGTAGCAGCCAGAGTGCTCTTGTCAAAATGCAAGCATGACACTGCCTCCTTCTTCCTCAGAGCCTTCCAGGGATTTCTTCTTCCTCTCAGGGTAGGAATAAATTCTCCAGCCCGGCCCACAGAACCTGGCCGGGGCCCTTTCTCCACCTCCTCCCCCGCACACCTGTCCTGCCCTCTCTGTCCCTTGAGGCTGCCACGCTCCTCCAATCCCTTCCAGACCTTAACACTGCTGTCCCCTCAGCCTGCACGCTCCTTCCCCCTTCACCCAAGGTGTCACCCTCTCTTATTATGATGTCACAGTGCAACACACTTCATTGTTATGCTTTAAACAAGCAGGGCTTTTATATGCACTTATCTGGGCAAGTATAAGATTATCATCTGTCTCCTCCACAGGATGGTGAGTTCTTGGAGGGAGGGGAGGATGGGGTAAGGGGATCCCGTATCTGGTTTTCCTCATGGCTGTCTCCTAAGAGCTGATTCCAGGACCTGGAGTCACACCCCTTTAAAATATTTTATGAAGAAGCAGATTTGCCATGACTTGTGAAGCACGGAAGTTCATCCCTGGATTTCTCTTTCAGGCTCTCTAATTACCATAATGGATGTTGCTGAGAAACTACGAGCTCTTCTGGCCAAGCTGCCGCCTGCAGAAGGAGACCGGCCCCGGCTGCTCAGCGATTAGAGCTGGCGGAACTGCTCCTGCGGGCAGCGCTCCAGAGAGGCACCGCCTCTCCAGCTTCTCTACAGCAGAAGCGGGTGGCACCTAGGAACCCTGCGGGACACTTGTGAAGATCACTTCTTAAGACAACCTCTGACTTGAAATGAGAATTCATAATCCTTTACTTGCTGACACAGACAGAAACATTGGTGATGCAGATCTTACCAAAGTCACGACACACGAAGGAAACGACTCCAGGTGAATTCAACCTGAAGAGTCTTAGAGGATTTTGACCCAAGCCCGCTCTGGCTAGACAAGACTAATTATGAGTCCCCAGGTTTCATTTGGTACTGTGGTGATGTTTAACATGTGTTTCTATCACATGAAGAAATTCAAATCAATTAGATATAGATTAGATATACATGTGTTGCTATGTCAAAGGTCACTTACCAGTGCTCATCATTGTAGCCTCTTGTGTTACATGAGCACAAAATTATGAGTGTTGTATGCACGGGTGTGTTTTTCTGCAGAGGGGATCCATAGTTTCGATCATTTTCCTAAAATGGCCTTGATTTACAAGTGTAGGAATCAGCAAACTACATACTAAGGCCTCTCTGGATTCTAAACTTACATACATTTTAAAGTCTAATGCTAAACTGGTGATATTATTGGAAAATTTAGTGAGATTCTGAATCCTGTGCATTTGAATGTCAAGTATTTTCCAAAAGAAAAAAAAAGTTTCAGTTTTTATCCAGATAATTTGGAGTCCTGATCAAAGAGTCAAAGAATAGCCATATATAATGTTAACTCACACACTTGTAGAATTGATGCTGGGCCCCTAATGTTCCCTGTGCCGTGTATGCATCTAAGTTCAGCCCAGCTGAAGGCTGTCAGGGACCCACCATGCAGGAAAGAGAAAGATGCGGTGAATAATCCACAATCCTCCATCCACAGCCAATACGTGTCTCCTTAGCCATGCAGATGAAAACACCTTGCTTGTAGCAACCAAAACTCGACAGGAGCTGAGTCAGATACCTGCCCATAAAGCTCCCACCCAGCCACCTCCGGCAAGTAGGGAAGGGAAGGCCAGGTGACAGTGTGTCGTTCTATGCACAGAAGATACTCTATTTATCTGAACACTTGCACAGGACAGGAAGAGGTCAGCAGACGAGCCCAGACCCACACCCAACACTGCCCAGGGCCACACTGCTTCCAAGTCCCCATGAGTGCTTGGCTGTAGGGAGTCAACACTGCAAAATGCATGATGTAGAGCTTAGAGTCTTCGAACACTCCAAAGAACTTTACCCATAGGCTCCTAAAAAGTTGCTAATTTTCGTTCCTTTTTCGTATTTCATGAGAGCCGTAAGAACAAACTTCAAAACCACTGCCACTATGTATGGCAGCACTGACTGTCCAAGGGGCTCAAACTCAGTTTCCATACGGTATCTTACTCATCCTGCCATTTTCATCTCATTTCTCCTCCTCCTCGATCCTTCTCTGCTTTGGGTTTCCCTTGATATGAAGTGAATACTGGAGTCCCTTCGTTTTCCCCCAGTAAAGTTTCTTTGATCTCAAACCAGAGGGACAGAGTAGGGGATACAATTAGTGAATGACACAGGCTCAGCTCCTGTCCTTTCCAGAACACTATTAGCCCCCAGCTATGCAGTTCCTGGATGATCTCTCCCAGAGAGATATTTGATTTAGGGCTCAGGACCCTTTCCCATGGTACACTTCTCCCTGGACAGCTCAATGGCATCACTGGGTGAGGTAATAAAGGGTCTGTTTACAATATTAAATTCCTTTGAGACTTAAGGTGGACTATTTTGGACTCTTCACCACTGATGAATTTTTCCGTCTGCTGCTTTATCTACCTGACAGGAAAGCTTGAACTAGTGCCATTTCTAAATTGCACTTCTAAATATTGACTTCATGGCGAGACTCAAAGTGTCATAACACAGCTCACTGGAGGAATGAAGATTTTCCAGACCTCATCCAGAGGTCTGCACAACGTCCTCTGGGAAGTGGAGAAGGAAGAGGAGGATTTGAGAAGAAAAATAAAATCAAGTCATGTTTAGAAGAAACGCCATCGCACTTCACTTAATCTTGCAGAGACAAATGAACACTCATGGGGCAATTAGCTGTGGAGGGGCTGGAGGGGACTGAGATGGGAGGGAGAAAGGAAAACAGTGACCATTAATCCCTCAGCTGATGGCCAAGAAGAATGGAGGGTGTGAGAAAGAGCCCTTCAGAAACACCTAGCTCTCTGAGAGCCTTTATTTGGGTTTCCGGCTGAGAAGGACTGGACAGTGTCTGGAAAACAAGAAACTTTTCATCCAACTTCTGTCAAGACTTCAACAAGGCCACATCTTTAGCTAATATTCATTTGGGTTGCTTAGGAAATTCTAGGAGCTTTCTTTTTAGCTTCCTTCCTCCTAATAGATAACTCTATAAACTGCTCTTAAGGCATAGTTGTTACATCACATTGGCTGTTGAACCATGAATCAAAAGAAGTGACTGGCCCTTTCTTCTCCTTCAGGAACTGTTCTGGAAGAGTAACAGTATTTTACATGCAAGCTGGCTTTGAGATTTTTTTTTTTTTTTTTGGATGTTCAGGGATATAAAACTTCAAGTTGTTGATGATCATGAAGGGACCAGATTCTCCAGGATGAAAATGATGCTCTGCAAGGCGGCAGGGAGAGGTCTGATATATGATAGCTATCTCCCTTCAGGACAAGTCCCCGTCTTCACGTGCATCACCAGCCATGGCTGTCTGAAAGGCCACTGGCAGGGGATCATATGTAGAGAAGCTGGGGAGAGCTATGAAAACCTCAAGTTCCAAAACATAAGAAGTTAAATTAACCAGGTGCCTGGAAGACGGCCCATCCAGCACTGGGGCGACATGCACCTGGATGGTCCTTAGATCTATGTGGGGCAGCCCGTGGGGCAGCATGCCCAATCTGTTCCCTCTTCATGGCCTACGCGTGCGGGTCCTTGTGTTTGTTGACAATGACTTCTGAGAATGACCTCAAAGCGCGTCTTTTGGTTTGAGACCTCATCACATTGGACTGACCCATGAGCTTGGCTCCTCTAGCAACTCTGATCAGGTTGGCTGATGCACTGAATTCTTTCCTGAATCTCACATCCCGCTCTGAGAAAAGATGGGTCTCCACTAAAGGTAATAAAGTCCTCTTAAACCTCTCCCTTCCTTGAAAGCTTCTTCTCATGTCAGTGGAGGTAGCTGCTCCAGGCAGAAGCCCAGGTGTCTTCTGAATAAACTCGACGACTCCCCTGAAATTCTATCTGCCAGGAGAGCCAGCCTGTGTATACTGGCCCGCATGCCCAGTTTGAATCCGTGCGGTCTGCTCTGGCCTTCCCAGGCTCACCTATGGACACTGGTCTCTGCTCTGTGGCAGCTTTCCGGGCACACACCCCAGCTCGGCCATGGGTCTGCTTACCACGGTCTCCATCTGTCTGTGTTCTATGCTCCTCTAAGAGCTGGCACAGCCTCGAGTGCCCCGAGCAGCTCTCCACGTGACCACCTCCAACCAGCGTCCTCTAGGGTCCTGCTGAAGGCCCTCAATGAGGGTCATCTGCGGCTCAGCCCCAGCTTACTGATCCTTCTCTCCGTCCGCCCCCACCCCCACCTGCCACGGTCCCCCACAACCTACCAGCTCTCACGGTTTTATCAGGCTGCTGCCAGTGAGCTCCCCAGCTGCCTCTCTCCATTAATCCCTTTCTTTCTTCCAGCACCCACCCCCCCGCCATGATGACTATCGGCAGTGTAACACCATTAAGAATTTGGGGGGGAAAGGGGCGCCTGGGTGGCTTAGTCGGTTAAGCGTCCGACTTTCGCTTAGGTCATGATCTCGCGGTTCGTGGGTTCGAGCCCCGCGTCGGGCTCTGTGCTGACTGCCAGCTCAGAGCCTGGAGCCTGTTTCAGTCTGTGACTCCCTCTCTCTCTGACCCTCCCCTGCTCACACTGTCTCTCTCTCTCTCCTAGAAATAAATAAAACATTAAAAAAAAAAAAAGAATTTGGGGGGGGAAAAAAAGGGTCTACAGCCACGTATGTAGGAAAGTCAAACTTCCCACTCACCTAAAGCACGAATCCCACCAATAGGAAGACACTTGTAAGTTGATGATTATTACTGAATCCTCTCATCCTCATGAAAGGGTTCTGACTGCCAAGACGAGAATATTCTAAGACTTCTCACAGCAGTGAGGGTAGTTTGCACAGTGACTTAGCTCACTGCACTAAGTAAAGTAATTTAGTTCCTCACTGATCTACTATGTCCAGGAGGAATATGAATACAAGGAGACGTCATGTACTCTGGTACCCAAAAGTTGGAAGAGCTCTGAATCCTGTTTTCAGCATTGGAGGAAAGCTCAAAATCTACAGAAACAGTATGCCAAATTCTTTCGTAAAGCAGAGAAGCAACACATAATTTATCTACTTTGTATATCCAAAATTCTGCACGTGAAAAAGTATGCTATACTTCGGCAGTATTGCGGAACCAAGGAAATCAGGAAATGGTCTCGTCCGAAGTTAAAGAGCTCAAAACACAAGGTTAAAAACCAAGCCCATAAGACATATTTCTTGTAAAGACCCCACTCTCCAAACCTGGCTTGGTCTGGGGACATGACAACTACATCATTTGCCTTCAGAGACTCCATGGTCTCCACGGTTTGAGATGTGAAAGGCTGGAGGAGCCTGGATGTTAACACACTCACCTGGCCAGTAGTACATGTAGACTTTCCTCTTGGCCTTGGTCAGAGTGACCCAGAGAGGCTCGGATCCATTCCACCAGAGAGGCATCAGGCTGTCTCTGTTGACACCAATGTCAAATGACTTGTTGGTGCTGGGGTCCCACATGTAGTTTCCGATCATCTGATGGACCTCACAATGGCGGCCTATGTTAATGAGAACACAAGGCTGTCAGTTTATTATTCTGGTCTCTTTATATTTTATCTTTTTATAAAAGCCATTTTCTCTTTTCAGATTATAAAAGCCATTCATGCACAGGTAGGAAGTATAGGACAGCATGAAGATTTTGACTTTTTTTTTACCATCGATATTTCTTCTCTCTTAGACTGTACCACAAAGACAATCCAATGAGAAGTCTAATAACCGAGGATGGGGTCATTTTTTGTGAAGTTAACTTGCCAAGCTATTTTAAGTTGCACTGAGGACATTGTGTGCACAATTTGACCCATTCACGGCTCGAAATCTAAATATGAATCAGTATGAAAACTGTAGACTCCCGTGTGGCTTGGGTTAGCTTTTCACCCCAGAGCACCCCTTCAAAGCTCTGCTCCCACCCAGTCATGAATCTAGATTGTGGGGAGTTTACTCCCTTGTTTTCCCAGATAAGAGGAGTTATCACTTCAATGCAGAACAATGATAGGATCTACGGCATTTGGAACAGAATGGTGAAAGTAGATTCAACTCTGGAAAACAAAGCAAGAAAACAATCCTCCAAATGGAGTGTTCTATAGAAATGAGGATTGCTTCTGTTGGGCACAGCTTAGTCCCAGAAGAGAAGCCAGAAGTGAAAGAAGCAAGCGCTTGGACTCTTTTGAAACGTTAGGCTTAAATTATTTATTTTGGAGCAATCTGCTGCATCTTCAAAGTAAAAATAACACAAACATTGGCAAGTGCATCAAAAATCGCTTCAATTTTTGTGAGCGTCATTTGGCAACAGATGAAACATGCTTCGCTGAGCTCACTAACTGTGCTTAAACCAGGTGGTTTTTTTTGCTTGTTTGCTGCTGTTCTTTCTTCTTAAGCACCTCTACCCCAACCCAACTCTCTCTCTCTCTTTTTCACACACACACACACACACTTTATTTTTATTTTTTAAGTATCCTTAATATAATTTATTGTCAAGTTGGCTAACATATAGTATGTAAAGTGGGCTCTTGGTTTTTGGGGTAGATTCCCATGGTTGATCACTACACCCACTTTATTTTTAAACAAAAACAAGGAGAAACCATAAAATACAATTTTCAAAATGTGGAGACCCAAAATATTATAAAAGAAAAACCTTTTATTTCATCACAGAAACCCAGGCCTTCTACAAATCATGCTTTGAACTTAAAGTCCAGAGATCCAGACAAAATAGTTTTTCCCCAAGGTTACAGACTTAGAGTTTTGATCCTGACCAAAAGCTTTCACATGTGGACTGATAAAATTAAAAATTAAAATAAAAAAAGTTGAGCAATTTCTCCAATAGTTAAGGAACTTAGTTACATTTGTTCCTTCAACAAACATTTATTCAGGGCTCCTATGGGCTCCGCACTGTGATAAGCTTAGACATTCAAAACAAATTCGTGTGGTCCCCACCCTCCAATGCCCGTTTGTAAGACTCAACAGAAGTCCTTTTGCATAAAAGAGACAGGCTTCCCTGGGCCAGGGTTAAGAAGGGGACCAAGCTGCCACCTTAACTTGAGAATTACAAGGATTCTCACCCACTCTGTTGCTGAGGATGATTCCTAGTATGTTCTAACTCATTAAAAGTAGAGGCATTGTTGGTTAACCATGTTACTTTTTTTTAGCGTATCAAAGTTTAATAATATCAAGGGAAACCCTCTCAGGAGTATAATTTCCTACCTGCTTTCTTTACTCAAAAACTGCATCCTATATCTAAAATGTTTTTTATTATCCTACTAATGTTCACTCCTCCCTTTCACTATGCAAGATAATCGTGACAATATTCGTTGGGAAATGTGTCCTTTCCGGTCGTGCCCTGTAGATGCCCTCTAATACCCTCCTAAGGGCAGGGGGCTCATCTGGAGCTGGTGTCACGGACACTGAGCAAGGGTGCAAAATTGGAAAGGGGTGTGGAAAGCATTACTGAAGTCAGTAAATCAAGAAAAGTTTCTAGATGAATCACAGGAAAGGGCTGCAACGGCTAGGGGTATCAGGACAGGGATAACAGGAAGTCATACCAAGTGGGACGGGTGTAGGAATCTCTGCTTTTGTTTGGAACTGTTTTGACTATTTTTGAAGAAATGCCTGAAACCCAGATCTAAGCAGGGACCTCACGTGATGCAGCTTCCACTAGGTGTTACTTGCAGAGAAGGATGAAGCAACCAAAAATAATGTTTAAAGTACTTATAACCTCTATCGTATATCTCAGAAATGCCACAATATCATTTGGTTGAATATTTTTCTCTTTTTTTTTTTTTTTTTAACACACTCAACCATCTAAACCATAAAGGATGCAAACTCTCTTGGCCTCTTTTGCTTTCTGGGCATAAAATTATAAGGAGCCTCCTGTGGAATACAGAGCTGCCCTATGACTGGATGGTGGGAGATGTCTGTGTAAGAGACACACAGAGATAGAGAGACAGAGAGAG